CCTCTACCCGGTACCCATGGTTAACCAACCTTGAACCAAGGCCCTTTTCCAATACTCGACTTGGGCTCCGTCAGGCTTCGTTCCTAAAACCAATCCCCGGTTGTGGGCATGAAGTGTTTAAATTAAATTGAAATACTGTAATTTCTGGCTCTTTTTCATCTTACTTGATGTTCTCTGGCACTATTAGTCTAATTACTGCACTTACAGCTTCAAAGTCAGCTAGTTAAAAACAGTTGAAGCCTGAGACGGAGCCGAATTGAGTATTGGAAAACGGCCCATGACTTATGATTACGCGATTTCACCAGGCTGCCCAAATTACTCGGCTGAGGCTTGGCGCATGGAGTTACGCACGAGAATTCTGGTTGTGGCTGCAGCAACTTCCCATTGATTTTTATGTTATGTTGAGCCGAAGCCAAGTCATCCGGACACAGCTAACAACGCTCAACCGTCATCAGTTCATGACCCACTTGCCGTTTGACTCATTGGCGCAAGATCTCATTGGCTTAGAAACAGACGAATGTACCGATTCAACCAATCAGCAAGCGCGGCAGTATTGCAAGACGATCGCGTCCATATCATTGCGCGATGATCGCTTCCATAAAATAATGGCGTCGGCACAGGAAAGCCAGAGAACGCGGAGGAGACACTGTTCAGAGGTGGGAGATTTAATTAAATTTCGACCAGAGGAAAACCCTAAATGGCGTAAAGAGGAAGATAATGTTCCACCACTGGATGACATGGTAAGGGAGATTGTAGGATTCCAAGCGAAGTGGAATCTTATGAAGGAAAAATGCAACGCTGATGTTGGGTCTGTGCAGAGACAATTCCTAGACAAATTTATTTTTCACTGCAACAAGGAAGAGGACCACGGTTGTGATACTTTGGAGGACACTCAAGAGTGTCTGGCCTCGAAAAAGGACTATTCCGACTTGTCAGATAAAGAAAAAGAAACAGTGGACTTGAAAAATGCCTACGAATACTTGCTAGATGTAAAGGAAAAAGAAAAGGACACAAAATCTCATGGCATGATTGAGGAATCCATGCTGAGAGGTGCACACAAAATAATCCTCAAAAGTGCACCCAAGAATCCACATCTCACTGAACTGGGGCAATACAGTGATAAACAGCGGTATACAACTTATAAAGGAGAGATACATGAATACCAAATGCCAGACGACATGCACAGAGTCGTTAATAATATTTTAGACAGGTTTAACTCTCTGTTTGAAGAATCACAGAGTAGACTTGCAAAGTCCAATTCCCAAGGAAGCCAGACAGATGAAGCAGATGCCATCTCCCAAGGAAGCCAGACAGATGAAGCAGAGGATTCTCAGCAGCTTTTTGACAACACGTTTAAGCTGCTGAAAACTTGCAGTTGGCTGGTGTTCGAGATGCTTGACCTGCATCCGTTTGGAGATGGCAATGGGAGACTTTGCCGTTTGCTCTGCAGCTACGTGCTGTCCACCTGCACTCCTTTCCCCACGCCCATCTACAACATCTGGAGCACATCCTCCAAAGATGACTACAAGGATGCCCTCGTGGAGGCAAGGAAGACGGAAGGTCGTCATCCTCGGGCACTGGCCACCATGATCATCGAATGCAGCTGGTATGGTTGGAAAAAGTTCCTCGAATGTCTTTCTGAAGTGGACACTGATAAGAAGCCGAAAAAAGAGGCATCTTGCTCAGAGCAGGAAGGGTACAGCCTTGAGGACAGCTCACTGCCATGTCAAAAAGTGAAAGTGAGAAAGGCTGGCCAGAAATGAATTGATCGTATTACAATTGCATTATTATTGGCTTCATGTACATGTAACATGGACATGAATTATGTGATAAAATTTCAGTCCATGCTTGCGGAATCTTCAATGTGCCACATGTAAAGTGAAATTGTCTTAGTTTTACAGAAACATGTACATGTATATTGATATTGCGACCGGGAGAAGACTGAAAAAGCACTGTATTTTGACGTACACATACTTTCTGTTCATGTTACGCACATAACATTCCAAGCAATCATCCCACCGGTAAACTTTGCAGGGAAAGATATTTAAGGAGAATCCTAATGTTAGTTTGTCTATGAGTTTGGGCGTAACCATACATTGTACAAACATGTATGAACCTTTGCTGAAAGTTTCCTCATGTATTAAAATTGGTCTTTTATCTTGAGTGTTTTTACTTGCCTGTTTTCTCCAGAGGGAACAGGGCAGCGTGGTACATGTACATGTACAGTTGAACACTATAAATTAAGAAGAGCATTGACAGTACAAGGTCATATATTTAAACAAGGACAGTTTTTGGTCCCAAGTCTTTTTTCTTTGTTTTCCATTTTAAGTGACATTTTTTTGTGTACATGTACACAACACAAGGTTATAAACTTGTCCCAAGGACCTTGTTATCAGTGTTCCACTGTACATGTAAAAAGGTGAAAGTACTTGCACTTTACTGCCCCTACAAGGGCCTGCGCCTGAGAATAGGCCTGCGTAGGCTACTGCTTGTGGGCCTCGGCCTCGTTTTGTAAAGACCAAGAAGAGAATGTACAATGTACAGTCGAACCTCGTTAACAAGAGCACTGTTAATACAAGAGTCTGCTTACAACGAGGATAATCATAGCTCCCAATCCTTTGTCATTGTTTTTATTCCTGATAAACAAGGTTCCTGTTGTAACAAGGTAATTTGCCAAGTCTGAAGGGCCTCTTATTAACGAGGTTCGACTGTAGATGACAGAGACTACCCATGACCTAGAGTGAATACATGTACATGTATGTCAGTGTAAATCCCATGGAATCAATGGAAAAGACTCTTGGGTCGTGTCTAAACGGGCTTCCAGAGCTACGGCATGTACATGTACGTAGGACTGCATGTTGTCAGTGCATCTCCGCGTATTTCCAGTGGAGTGAAGACCTACATGTACATCTAGACCTACATGTACATGTAGCTTTAGACGAACAGTTCAGTTGCAGCCTTGAATTGGCTACCACCCTTTTACTGATGGTCTAGGGTGCCGTGCTCAACCTGCACAACACTGCAGTTCCAACAAGGGGTAAAGTCAAGACCAGACTCACTGTCTGCAGTGCTTGGATGGGGGGGTGGGGTGGGATTCCAAGGTGTTTTTAAGCAAATTGGTGAATTTTATGCTCTTTCCTTCTTTTTGGCCTCGCCCCCCATTTCAATTTTAAGCAGGAAAAGGGGGTACGAGGTTATGATGTGTAGTGTACCTGTACGTTTTTCTCCTTTAAATATTTTAAAAATGTACACGTCTGAAGATCATATCAGCTTTCGAGGATACAGTATTTTGTAAAGGCTTCAATGTGGCATTCTGTGTTCAATACCAAATGCCCACGAGCCATCATATGGCAACCTTTGTCATCACCTGGTCATGTGTGAAATGCATACATTTATATTTGCATACATGTACAGACAGCTGATACAAATTATACAGGTAGATGAGTACATGTACATCATAATCGGATGATCTGAAATTTTGAGCAAACGTTTTGATCCAGCATTTACTATAAGGCAAGAAATAGTTTCAATGAAACACTAAAATGATTTTAGTGCCAAATCATCTATCAGTGTTTGTAGACAGGCCGCTTTACTTCGTGCATTAACTTGCTTGCCAAAATAATGTTTTCTTTAAAGTGCTTGTGGTTTAGTTTTATAGCTCCAGTACTAAAGTAAATGCAAATTGGTTTATGGGCAGTATCCTTTGTTAAACTCATCTGTCCTCAATAACCTGTACGATGATTTAGAACTCTGTTAAAATGAATGACTTTTATGTAGTGGGTGGGGTTAACAAGTTTACCTGACCCCCCCAAGAGATGTGCCGTAATGTTGCAATGTAGTAAAATAACTTGAAATACATGTACGCACATGTACATGTAACCATCTACACAAGCCTTTTCACGCTTGAGATTTTATTTATGCTTACTTGCATACTCGGATAATTAAAATTGATTCTGTACCCTGTAAATGTACAATGATGTGCATGACATGTTACATGTATCAGAGGTGTCCTGATGAATTAAGCTTCAACTTTCTGACATACTGTATCCAAAGATTTGAAGATA